TAAACGATGATTAGATTGCCTCCTCCTGAAAATTGAGAATTTTTGGCCCTCAGAAGTCAGAACCCCCCATGTTGTATCTACATAATATTGCTTAATAATTTTAGTGCCCAAAGTTCTCTTTCTTCTGCTTCTTCCTTAATTCTTACACTTTGGAAAATGCATCAAAATAAACTCCCAAAACACCAAAATACAGCTCTAGAAACCAAAAGAATATTAATCGATTTCTTCTAAGAAATAAAACAGCTTGTGTTCTGAGAATGAACTTCTTGGGCTTGGATGAATTATACGGTGCAGCAGAGTTTCGAATCAATGGAGGCCAAACACATGCAGAAAGCTTGATAACCAGTCAAAGGATATCTGCATAACACACACACAGCTTGTTCTTAAAATTTAAATTTTGGCGAAACTAGAAATAATAATAATAATTAGCCAGACGAATACAAAATAATTAGCTAGACGAGATGTACCTGTAATCCATCACGTATTTCGACTTTCCCAACCGTCCCAGTTGAAGGATTGATTGTTTTCCATTCCTCTGATCAACAACCAATTCTGGTTATTAGTTTTTCATAAACGAGTAAAACGACTTTTTAACTGAGGTAAATTAGCAGAATATAGTACGGTGGAATCATGTGTAAACTCACTTCCAAAGTTAGTTGAAAGTTCTTTACTGAGCTCTTGATTTTAAGGCTTGCCCTCCCTCTGTCTCTGAAATCTAATTCATACTGCTTCGAAAACTAAACAGATTTGTGCAAGAAAAGCAAACACATTAGGATTTTAGAAACCTTTACTAGAAATCAGGAAATGAATTGAACAACTATTTTTTATTTTGAAATATGTATCTCATCAGGATTGTACCTTATTGTAAGAAGGGACTTTTGAGAATAGCTGATGAACTCTATCTTTGTTTTCTTCCCATTCTGCCGGCAATCCATTAATATGTTGTATCTACAACCACCCATCATATTTCTCATTCAGAAAAAGAGAGACCAAAATTTTTAACAACTTTATTATTCCAAAATATACCTTTTTACTAAAATATTGAGTAATTTAACAGCCAAACATGTTATGAGCTCCAGAAACAACACATTAGTTGTGATAGTCTATAATTCATTCTAAATTATTTTATCCAAACATTTTACACAACATTTAAAATACTAAGGTGTAACCTGATTTGTATACTTGAGCTGCATGGATTGGTGCTTTGGTACCCATGCCTTCATGCTTCTATAATTTCCAGTCCAAGTCGATATAGTCGGCGTGAAACTATAAAAAAATTGACCCATCTATTAATTATCTTCTATATTCCCATATCTTTGAATTTTTTTATACACACCATAAGAAAAGGTGATAAAATGTGCTTACTTCACAGCTGCCAGTAACTTGGGGTTTTTGGCTAAGGAATTTAGACATAGTGCCTGCAAACATATTAATAGCTACAAACTGTAAGAAACTTATAAGACTACTGGCAAACTGGACAAATTGTAAAATCACCTGGTCCCATATATGATACTTTGAGCCCATTATGTTAGAAGTGACTATCCCAATCAAACTGTCATCTGACTTAGCCATTATGCCCTTTTCATCTTGCGCGATTATGAACTCCGATTTCCCACGTCTCCTTCTATGGTGAGCCACGGCAAGCTTGCGGTTTTGCCGCCCCTTTCCCTCCTACGACATTAAAAAATATATATTTTTTCTGTCAAAAACATTAATTTAACCAAAATAATACAAGATTTGCTGAGGAAAGATTCAAAACAATACGAAACAATGATTGAATAAATTCCCCGCACAAGAAAAATCAAGACCTTAAATCCAGTCATTGACTTTGAAAACAGAATAAGCATATGACAAGAATAATGTATAACCACAAAGTTGACATCATTACATTATTTTTTGTAAAAAATTGAAGTGTGACATTTTCAGTAATTGACCATATGATTTAAGTCATAAATCAACTCCATTCAAGTAGGTAACATACAAAAACAGATGAGAAAAAATTCCACTTAAGTTAATTTAGGCCTCAAAGCATTCATTGAACATAAGTACATAAAAGATCACAGTTCACAACACAATAAAACCAGAGATTGAGAGTAAGAGAGCTTATAACAGTCCTTACATAAGTATACAGAGTGTACAAAGTCCCACAGAAAAATCCATTGGGTGATGATTCTTTCACTATAATACATGTACATCTCCCAACATCCACGGGCAATGGCCTACACAACAAAGACCTGACCAAAAAA